GTCACTCAGGGGACAAGGTTCGCTGTGGCCGGCCACAAGCTCTTCCCTCCCTCAGGAGGGCATTTCCGGCACCTTCCACCGGCCTGCAGAGCCAGCCCTCCTGCCTGCACACTGCAGCCGGAGGGTCCGACAGCCGGAGGGCACATGTCGGGGATGCGACTGCTTGTGACAATGTGGGGGTGCCACCCAGAGCCCTGAGCATCAGACTGGCCTGCCCGGTGTGGGAGCAGCGATGGGGGCGGGACGGGGCTCTCCCACCGCTGCCCTCTCCTTGCCTGGACACCAGCACCACGGCAGTGGCCAGAGCTGGGCAGCCACCATGTTCTGGGGGTTCCTCATGCTGTAGCAGCGTGTGCCAGGCTGACACCCCCTCGGTCCCCCACCAATGACTGAGAGTCCGGCTCCACGCCCGTGGGAAGGCACGAGAAGCAAGCAGCCTGCAGCCAGGGGCCAACACAAACTTCCCGGTGGGTGGGCCCCCTCCCCTCTTCCAGAAAAACTTGGCAGCTGGGACACTCGGGGCAGGCGGCGCAAGCCCTCCTGGCACGTCCCGCAGATGCCCTGGCCCTTCCGCGTTTTCCTGTCAGAACAAATCAAAGGCGAGCCGCAGGCACTTCCCCTACCCACTGCTCCGAAGCATGGCCGCGGGTCAGTCACGCCTCGTGGACATGAAACCACTCAGATTTAATCAGCCTCACTCCACTGGCATATGCCCTTAGCTCCTGGAGCCCTTTCAGCTGCGAGCCCACATGTGTACACAGGCACATGCACACAATCTCATGAACACACACATACATAATCACAGGCATGCGTACATACATACACATATGTTCGTGCATGCACAGTGGCACACAAGACACATGTGCATGCACATATACAAACATTCACACATCTGCAGTGACAAAGACACGTACATACTGACATATACTCATGCACACACAATAACAGACACATGCACACACATAATCACATACATTCATACATGCACAGTAACACAGACACATATGCATATACACATACACTCACGCATGCAGTGACAAAGAAGATACATATGCACACACTTACATACACTCGTATGTGCATAGTAACACAAAGATACACGTGCACACTCACACATACACATGCACGCACAGTAACACAAACACACATGCATATACACATATACATACGCTAATGCACACACAGTAACAGACACACATACATAGTCACATATACACATGCGCAGTTACACACAGACACACGTACACACAAACACACAGACACAGACACATGTGCATACACACATTCACACATGCGTTCATGCACACACAGCAACACAGACAAATGCACATGCACACATCCACTCAAGTACTCAGTGACACACAGGCACACATTCATACTCACAAAATTCTTGCACACACAGTAACACAGACAAACGTGCACACACACATCCACCCATGCATGCCTACACACATTCACATGCTCACACAATTACACCTGTGTGTACACATACACTCACCAGCATGCATGCACATACACAGAAGGCTTACGTGGGCCTCACAGACTCTGGACGCCAGGCCCTTGTTCAGCTCCTCCTTCAGGGCTCTGGGAAGCCGTGGGGGCCCTTGGTGGGCCACAGGCTGAGCCAAGGGCTCAGCCGCACCTGCCCCACAGCCCGGCCAGCCCCAATGCTGACAGTCACGAGGCAGGGGCCGAGCTGGCCTGTTCCGAGCCTGGCCATGCTCTTCCTGCAGCACTTCCAGTGCCTGCCTGGACACACCACCGATTCCTTGCCCCAATCCACAGGTTGGGATACTGAGGCTCGGGGTGGGCATGCGACGGTTCTAGACTGCCAGCCCATCAGCGCCCACCCTCCCCAGCACCAAGTCGCCGGCTGCTGTGACTGGGAGCTCAGAGCTTGCTGTGGGGCGCGGGCAGCGCTTCTGCTCAGGGCTCAGCCCCAGGTCAGAGCCCCCCATCTGCTAGGCCACTGCCTGTGCTCTGGTGACTCCAAGTGCTGTCCCTGTTGCATTGACCGCATAGCCCTGAGACTGGCTGGGGGAGGGGCATTCTCACAGCAGGACAGGGCTGGGCCTGGGGGCCATTCCAGGCTCCCGCAGCCCACCGCAGCCCTGGACTCGCTGACACCTGGCTGCTGGTGCAGGCCTCACGTGAAGGCCAGGTGCAGGGGGCCTCCTGCCTGCAGGCCTTTCACCCTGAGGGGCCATGAGGGCCAGCCACACCCCCAGGTCTCCTAGACCCCACGAGGGATGCTGAATGGACACTGGGGAGGGCTGTGTGTGGGCTGTTGGGTCATGCTGCCAGGCTGTCCATGAAGCACTTTGCAGAGCCCCGGGAGGCCGTGCCAGCCCCCAGCCCACTGTGCCAGCCCCTTCCTGGGATCTATGTGGTTCTACAGCCGCTTCCGGAAGCCAGGACAGGCAGCTGGCCAGTGTCCCCGTGCCCGGCGCCTCACTTAGAAAACAGACAAACATGGGACCTCAGCACTGAATGCTGTGCCGGGGGCAGTGCCTCGCCTCACCCCGAGGCAGGCAGGACCGTGACCTGTCGGTGCTGACCCCCAGAGAGGGCCTGCCAGGACGTGCCTACGGGCACACAGGCAGCAGGCCCGGGACAGGACCACAGCTAAAGGAGTGGGCAGCAAACCGCAGCCAGCAGAGGAGTGGAGGGGTTGCCTGCATGTGGGGGCCAGGCAGGGGCACAAGGAAAACGTGGCTGAACGTGGCATGGAAGCACATGGCCAGAGGTGCACGCGGGGCCCACGTGTCTCAGACTGGATCTCTGTCCCTGCACGTGAGCAGCGGAGGCTGACCATGCCTAGGTCGTGGCCACGGCATCTTCATCTTCACTCTGCGCCACACACAGGAGTGGCCTGTGGCACACGAACGGGACATGTGTTTGCATGTGGATGTCACAAGTGAACATATTGCCTCAAACACATGGGGGTGGTATGTAAACACGCGCCATGCATAGGGTGGCATGGAGACAGACACACAGGACATGTGTCGGACATGTGTCAGACACAGGGAGGTGGTGTGTGAACACACAGCATCACATGGGACATAGGGTGAGGACACGCTGCATCACGCGAGCATGCTGAGGGCCTCGTGGCAGTGGCCATGGCACAGGAACATGCTCCATCAGAGCAATGACCGGGGCCGTGGGTTGCAGGTGCCCCGTGATGTGCTCGCCCCCCAGCTGAGACCTGGAGGGAGCAATGTGCCGGCACAGGAGGGGCAGGTTCGCCTGAATTCATTCCCAGGGGCATCTGGCTGAGTCCCAGGAAACTGGGGTGGGGTTGGTGGAAAAGACTCTCCTCGGAATGGTTTTCTGGCTGAGGTCCCCACCACGCAGTGACACTGGGCATTACCCCGCTGGCCCTCCTGGCCTGCCCAGAAGTCTTCGGCCTTCTGTTTGCTTGCCCTGCGGTGGGGGGTGGGGGAGAGCCAAGCCTGCAACCTCTGCGTGTGGGCGGGGTGCAGGCTCTCACCCAGCCAGGCACTTCCTGGGGGTGGGGGCGCACCAGGTCACAGGCCCCGCTGGACAGAGATGCCTCCTGCTGAGAGGTGCTTCTTGCGCTCCCACTGGGGACCCTGCAAAGCCCCAGGCACGCTTGGAAAGGTGACCCCGCCCCTGGTACACAGGAGAGGCTGCAGGCGGCCAGCCTGGGGGGAGGTGCCCTCTGTGCACACCTGCGCCCACCCTGTCCTCCTCGCTCCCTGAAAAGTCAAGCACAGAAGCACCCTCGGAACCGAGCCTCACCACCTCCCTCCGCCCCCTCCTCCCTACCCTGAGCTGGCAGGTGCGCCTGCACCCCCAGGAGGGGCTCCCCACGCATGTCAGGGAGCAAGGCCAGGCCGAGGAACCCCAAGTGCTCTCCCCGCGCCCCCGGGGGCTTACTGACCTGGCCCCCAGCACGAGGAGGGGGGCTCCCTCCTCCAGGAGCCAGGCTGGAATGAGGCCCCCACGCAAAGCCGCCCTCCATCCGGGCACCTCGGCTGGGGTGCCCGTGAGAGGCGGTGAATCCCCCCCAGCCCCTGAAACTTCAGTCAACTGCCAACATGGGCTCGGAGCAGAGGTCAGGGAACGGGGGTCCCGCCTCGGTCGACCCCCGCCCCCCGCCCCGGACGGCGGGCGGGCTCGGGGTGCGCCCAGGCCACGGCGCGCCCTCCAATCAGGCCGCGGACCCCGAGCCGGCCGGGGCTGCGCGCCAGGGAGCGCGCCCGCGTGCGTGCGCGTGTGCCGGGGGAGGCGGGCGGGCGCCGGGCTCTCCCGCGCGAGAGGAGCGGCGGGCTCGGGGACTCTCCGGCCGGCCGGCCCGCGCCCGGCCCTGTCCCGCGGAGAGCCCGCGGCCCGGGAAGGGGGCGCCCTCGCCGCGCGCGCGTCCCGCGCCGCCGCCCCGCCTCCTCCTCCTTCGGGCGCCGCGGGGGCTCGCCGGCGGCCCGGGGCTCGGACGCGGGGCCCGCGGCGCTGAGCGGCCGGCGGGGGGCCGCCGCCGCCCCGCCCCGCCGCGCCACTCTGCCCAAGTTGCGGCCCGGAGGCTGCGGCGGCGGCGGCGGCGGCGGCGGGGAGGCGGCGGCGGGGCGGCGGCCGCGGCGGCGCAGCGCGGCCGAGCGGAGGGCGCGGACCGCGGGGGGCGCCCGCGCCGGGACCCACTCGGGAGGGGCAGCCGGAGGACGCGCGGCGGCGCCCGGCCCGGGAAAGTAAAGTTGGAGCCGGCGGCGCGCGGGGGCCGGGGCGGCGCTGGCCCGAGCCCCGCGCGCCGAGCACCAGCCGGCCGGATGGGAGGCGGAGCGCCCGGGCCGCCGCCGCCGCCCGCAGCGTGCGCCCTGGCCGGGAGCCGGGGCCGCGGGGCCCGCCCGCTCGGCCGCCGCGTCGCGCTGGGCTCGCGGCCCGGGCGCTGCCCGTGAGCCGGCCGAGGACGGGGCGGCGCGGACCCGGGACCTGCCCCCGCCCGCACGCCCCCAGCGCGCGCCTCCCGCTCGGCACTGACGCGCGCGGCGGCGGCGGGAGCCCCGCGCCCAGCTCTGCGCCCGGGCCGGCGATGCGCGCGCCCAGCGGGGCCGGGGGACGCCCGGGCGGCGGCGGGCGCGCGTAGCCGGCGGCAGGACCATGGCGTCCCCGGCGCTGGCGGCGGCGCTGGCGGCGGGGGCGGCGGCGGCGCCGGGCCCGAACGCCAGCCGCGCCGGCGAGGACGGCGGCGGGGCCGCCAACGGCTCGGGCGCCGCCTGGGGGCCGCCCCCGGGCCAGTACTCGGCGGGCGCCGTGGCGGGGCTGGCGGCCGTGGTGGGCTTCCTCATCGTCTTCACCGTGGTGGGCAACGTGCTGGTGGTGATCGCCGTGCTGACCAGCCGCGCGCTGCGGGCGCCGCAGAACCTGTTCCTGGTGTCGCTGGCCTCGGCGGACATCCTTGTGGCCACGCTGGTCATGCCCTTCTCGCTGGCCAACGAGCTCATGGCCTACTGGTACTTCGGGCAGGTGTGGTGCGGCGTGTACCTGGCGCTCGACGTGCTCTTCTGCACCTCGTCCATCGTGCACCTGTGCGCCATCAGCCTGGACCGCTACTGGTCGGTGACACAGGCCGTGGAGTACAACCTGAAGCGCACGCCGCGCCGCGTCAAGGCCACCATCGTGGCCGTGTGGCTCATCTCGGCCGTCATCTCCTTCCCGCCGCTCGTGTCGCTGTACCGCCGGCCCGACGGCGCCGCCTACCCGCAGTGCGGCCTCAACGACGAGACCTGGTACATCCTGTCCTCCTGCATCGGCTCCTTCTTCGCTCCCTGCCTCATCATGGTCCTGGTCTACGCGCGCATCTACCGCGTGGCCAAGCTGCGCACGCGCACGCTCAGCGAGAAGCGCGCGCCCGCGGGCCCCGACGGCGCGGCCCCGGCCACCGAGAACGGCCACTGCGCGCCCGAGGACGGCGGCGCGGCGGCCGAGCGGCGGCGCCGGCGGGGAGCGCTGCGGCGGGGCGCGCGGAGGCGCGCGGAGGCCGAGGCGGGCGCGGGCGGCGCCGACGGGCTGGGGCGGGGCCAGGGTGCTCTGGCCGCGGCCGCCGCGCGCTCCCCGGGCCCCGGTGGACGCCTGTCGCGCGCCAGCTCGCGCTCCGTCGAGTTCTTCCTGTCGCGCCGGCGCCGGGCGCGCAGCAGCGTGTGCCGGCGGAAGGTGGCCCAGGCGCGCGAGAAGCGCTTCACCTTCGTGCTGGCCGTGGTCATGGGCGTGTTCGTGCTCTGCTGGTTCCCCTTCTTCTTCAGCTATAGCCTCTACGGCATCTGCCGCCAAGCCTGCCAGGTGCCCGACCCGCTCTTCAAGTTCTTCTTCTGGATCGGGTACTGCAACAGCTCCCTGAACCCGGTCATCTACACCGTCTTCAACCAGGACTTCCGGCGCTCTTTCAAGCACATCCTCTTCCGACGGCAGCGAAGGGGCTTCAGGCAATGACCGCGCCCGCCTGGGCCCGACCCAGGGGCCTCCGGGGCGCCGGAGCCTAGAAAGGGGCGCCCCCTCGGCCTCCCGTCTCAGGGGACGCCTGGCCAGAGTCGGGGCCAAGCCCACTGCGATGGCACGAGCTCAGGGTCCCATGTCCACCCCCACACCGGTGTTCGCCATCTCCGTGTCTGCATCTGAGCAAGGGCTGACTTCCCAGGACCTGGTGGGGGAGGGAAAGGGGCGCTGACAACTTTTGGCTATTGACATGTTTGCCAAAAACGACCTCCTGAACAACCAAACTCTTTTCTAAATAAACCTTTGTAATCTAAGTGTGGTCTGCACAGTCCTTCTGCCTCTCGTCTCCCCCCTCCCACGGCCGGGGGCAGGGCCTCCGCCCCCCACCCCCACCCCATGTGAGGAGGGGCCTTTCGACCTGGCTAGTGTCCCCACAACCTGCGCGGGAAGAGCCAGGGCTCAAGAATCCCTCTGACTCAGGTGGGACCTGGGGCCCGCGTGCTCCTCTCTGGGGATCCCCTTACACAGCCCATCATAGGATGGAGAGCAGGGGTGGGCACACCAGCAGGACCTTACGTTACAAGGGGAGCGGCAGGCACAGACACACAAACACACACACACAGTTGGACACACAATCACAGTACACAACCGGATACAGTCATGCACGTGTACATGGACTGTCACACTTGCCCAATGCTCACACAAACAATTACAGATGCAATCACACGCTCAATTATACGTCACATACACACACAATTGTAGAAGCACACAATTGCACACATGAAAATTTGCACAAATCACATGCAGTCATACATGTACACAATAGCCCACTCACAATTGTAGACGACTACACATAAATACATGCACAATCACATTACCTACACAACCACACACATGCAAATTACCTGCACGCACAATCACACACTACACCCAATCCCATGCACACAGCACAATTATACACATGCACCCAGTCATGCAATGCATAAATCACATGCACACACAATCATCATGCCTGCACACAGGCACAGGTCCACGTGCCACAAACACGCACACGTGAGCCGGGGCTCAGGTGGAGGCTCTGCATGTGCCCAGCCACTGGGCCGGCCCTGCACCCCCTGCTCCTGCGGTCTGTCCTGTGGGCACTGCCTCCCCCTGGCCTGCACCCCAGCCCCCCTGACTGCGGGAACCCCCACCTGGCTCACCGGGCTGTCCTGCCACCTGGCCACCTCTGCGGAGCGGGATCCCCCACACCCACCCTCACCTGTGACTCATGCAGGTGGAGAGACTGGGAGGCCCGCGTGAAGGAGCCGAAACACCCCTGTCCTCACTGAAAGGGCCTGGGAGCTGCCGCCAAGCTCCTGTGGTAAAGAACATTGCACGCTGGGATTGGGGCTCAAGAGGTGATGTGACCTGCCTGAGGTCGCACAGCCTAGAGGGGACCCAGCAGAGTGCAGGGGGTGGGGGGGTGCATGGGGGACAAGCCCTGGCAGGGCGAGGAGGTTCTTGGTTGGTTTGCCAGGAATCTGTGGGGGGGGGCGGTCACTGGCCCCGTGCTGTACTCCCTTGGGGCTCCACAGAGTCTCCCTGTTCTCCTTCCCTGACTCGGAGGTGCCACTTCCCAGGACCATGGCTGGGATGGGGGAGCGCCATCCTGGCAGGCAGGACCCGATAGGCTGCCCTGCGCCGCCCCGTCCTAGCAGCCTGCAGAAGGTCACTTGCTCTGAGCCGGTTAGAGGGGCTGATGGGGCAAATCCAGGGTGCGGGCGTCACCTCGCAAACCTGTGACCGATTACCTTCCCACTGACACGGAGCTTTGGGTCCTGCTGGATTTGCGCGCTTGGGCTCCATGGAAGACAGGAACGCAGCGACCCCGGCACCCTTCTGCATGGCGCAGGGCAGCCGATCAGGTTCTGCCTGCCAGCCCCAGCCGGTCCCCCTGAGTGCTCCCAGGAGAGGCCTCAGAAAAGCAGCTTCGTCGCGGGACTGTTGCTGATGGCACCAAGGTCTAAGGCAGAGGAAGGCAGAAGCTTCCGGTCAGCTCTGGACCTCCCTGGCTCCTGCCCTAGGCTCCTGACCTAGGCTGGTTCCCAGAGTGGCCACTGGCTCACCGGGCTGTCCTGCCACCTGGCCACCTCTGCGGAGTCCCCTGGTGACTGTGGGTGAGGAGACACACTGGGGTCCCCTTTGTCCCTATGCCGCGGGGGTTTCTCCAGGCGCTGGGGGGGTTCAGGGTGACTGGAGGTGGGCAGTGGGCCGTAGGGCCAGGGCTCCCCCAGGAGGCCAATTCAGGCCAGTGTCACCTGGGTGTCAGAGGAGCCCAGGGCAGGCAACCCATGTTGGGGACCCTGGACCGGGCTCAGTCCCAGAACCCACGGGGGCATCAGCCTGGTCCAGGTGTGCATCTGGCCCTGGGGTGCCCACCCTAAAGGGCTTTGGGCACAGTGAACAGGGGTCCGGGTGTCCCTGGGCTTTCCATTTCCTCTCTGTCGAAGGGGCTGAGCCCCGGGTCTGGGCGTGCTCTCCCATCCACTCCCCTCTGCTCTGAACCACCCCCCACACTTGCACCCATGTCACTGATGGGGAAACTGAGGCTGAGAGCTCCACATGGGGCCCTCCTCCACCTCTTTTAGCTACTCTCCCTGACTCCCCCACGTGACAAGAAAAGCCATGAGGTGGCCCACCCAGCTCTGCCTGCATCAGGGGGCTGCTGGGGGGGGACCCCACACGTGGGACGTGGCAGGTCCCGGGGAGCAGTGACACCATGTGGGGTCACTCATCCACACCTCAGTGAGACAAAGGGGCCACTCTGGGTGCTTGGGGGCTGCCCACGTGGCTGAGACCCCCGACAGCATGAGTCCCTGGCCTTCTGCGCCGCTGGGAAGGGGCGCAGGCACAGTGCAGCCAGGACCTCGGGATACAGGGCCTGGGACAGGGCTCAGGACAGACCCCACAGGAGAGGCACCCAGATGGGCCCCCAGCCCCCTGGACAGCGGAACATGGTGCCGGCCGGCTGTGCTCATGGAAAAGTACCAGCCCGGCCACCTTATCTGCCATCGGCAGCCTGAGCTGTGAGCCTGGCCAAGCTCGGCCGCTTCCGCTCCCTGGGAAGAGGGAGACCGGTCCTGCGCTGCCCTGAGGCCTGGACCCTGGCCAGGGTCCGCCCAGCTCGTGGAAGGGCTGTTGGACAGAGATGGGGGAGGCTGGCGCGACCTCACAGGCCTCTGACCCCGTCTCTTCAGCAGCTGTGCCCTGAGCTCCCCAGCTGGACTGCACTCCCCTCCCAGACTCAGTCATGAGGGTCCCAAGGGGCTCCCGTGGTCTCAGGTGGCCCGAGGGGGCATGCTGTGGCCAGCCCTTCTGCGTCTGGGGCTCTGCTCCGGCCACTCTGGGGGTGACCGTGGGGTGTTGACGGCTGCGGGATGTGCTGCATGGACCACCGGGCAATGCGGCAGCCACAGCACTAACGGGGTATGACCAGGGGTCCTGGGGGGACCAGCAGCCTTCCGGCCAGAATGGGCCGGTCCATGCCGACAATGGCAGGGGCACTTGCTCGGCCCCACCTGTCCCTCCAAGGCTCCCTGAGGCTCCAGCCGTGCTCCCCATCGATGGCCACAGCTGGGAGAGGACAGGAGGGCTGTCCCGCCCCTGAAACCTCTCCTTGGGCTGGAGCTGCCCTGTCCCCTCCGTGTGCCCCCACCACGCACCCCCAGGGTCCAGCTCTCTTTCCTGTGCCTCTGGCCCCTGGCCTCAGCTCTGTCTTGGCACTGGCTTTGCCTGGAGAGGTTCCTCCCGGGCCCCCTCCCAGGCTCTGTGGTGACAGGACTGTCCCCGACTCAGGTGCCCCAAGTCCCCTCCTGAGCTGCACCCCCAAGCTGGGTCATCACTGCCAGGTCCCCCTCGAGTCTCTCCTGCTCTGCCCAAGTTTGCCGTGCCCAGGATGGGCTGACATCAGGGCTTGCCGAGCCCCGGTGCCCCTACCATGGTACCGAAATCTCCAGGCCCCCTGCTCAGTGATCTGCTGACCCCCAGCCCCCTGGGTGGGGGTCAAACCTGCCACCACCACTAGGGCCCCAGCATCCAGCTCCAAACCAGCCCAGCTGTAAAGGGGGTCTGTCACCCCAACAGACAGCTCTCCCTTGTGCTTGGCAGAGAGGGCTCACGGCAGCGGGTGGACCGAGACTGGGAGGTCCAGGACCCGAGTTAGTTCAGGTATGCGAGCTGGCCTGCACCCGCTTCTCCATGGACTCAGAATCGGCCCAGAGCCGTGCTCGGGAGACCAGCCCGTGGCTTGGGAAATGTGGGGCGTAGGGTTATCAGATATGCTATGGCTGTTCCCATGACATCCCCACCCGTGCCACAGTGCCCAGGGCCCCCTGCATGCCTCAGGGGCAGGGCACTCACCACACCCCAGAGAAAGCCAGTAAGAACATGCGAGTGAGCGAGCGAGCGAGTGAGTGAGGTAGTGAATAAGTGAGTGAAGGAGTGAGCAAGTGAGTGAGTGAATGAGGGGGTGAAGGAGTGAGTGAATGAATGAGTGGTGAGTGGGAGTGAATTAGTGAATGAATGAGGGGTGAAGGAGTGAGTGAATGAATGAGGGGGTGAGTAAGTGAATGAGTGAGTGAGTGAGCGAATGAGTGAGTGAGCGAGCGAGCTCTGGGGCTGATCCTGGCTGTCTGTGCCCAGGCCCACGCGTGCTCCCCAGCACCCATTTCTCAGGCTCCTGCAGGTCACAGGCTCTGCTCAGGCCCCTCGGTGCAGCAGGCAAGCGAGCCCTGGGTGGGTGGCGCGGCAGGGCCCTGGCCTGGGCTTTGCTGACGCCAGCACAGAAGCGCCACTAAAAGCCTTTTTGTTGCCTTTCCAGCCCAGACAGAATCAATCAACCTGGAAAGATGAGAACAGCCGACCTCAGAGCCTTCTAGCAAACCTTGGCGGTGGGGGCACCGGGAGGAGCCAAATCACCACACCCAGGGGGACTGGGTCCATGAAGCCCCCGCTGAGCCAACTGGGCCCACCCCCAGGGCATTTGTGGGCAGCTC